GATTGATACAGTTGGATTAATGCCTACCATATTTGTTACTGTTTTCTATTTGTTGCTTTTCTTCTTTGTTCCTGTTTTTGTCTTCTGTGGTTTTAATTGAGCATTTATATGATTCTTTTTTCTCTCCTTTCCTAACATATTAGTTATACTTTATTTTTAAAAATTTTTTCAGTGGTTGCCCTAGAGTTTGCATTACACATTTACAACTAATCCAGGTTTACTTTCAAATAAGACAGTACCACTACATGTGTAGTGCAAATACCTTATAATAAAACAATACTAATTTCTCTATTCATTTAACTTACATATAAGCATATATAATATAATTGAATACATTGTTGCTATTATTTTGACACACTTGTCAGATCCATTCAGAATGAGAGAAGTAAAAGTTTTTATTTTCTTTACATTGTTTCATTGGTGTTAATTCTTTATTTATATAGATCATAGTTTCTGACCTATATTATTTTCCTTCTCTCTAAAGAACTTCTTTTAACGTTTCTTACAAGACAGGTCTAGCAACAACACATTTCTTCAATTTTTGTTCTTCTGAAAAATATCTCTTCATCTTTGAAGGTTAATTTTGCAGGGTATAGAATTCTAGGTTGGTAGGATTTTTTTTCCTCTCAGTACTTTAAATATTTGACTCCTCTCTCTTCTTACTTGCATTTTTTTCTGAGAAGTGGGATGTGATTCTTATCTTTTTTCCTCTTCAGGTAAGGTTTCCAAAAACCCTCCTTCCCAATAGCTTGTTTCATGACTTTTCTAGATCTTTGATTTTCTACAGTTTGAAGAAGATATGCCTAACTGTAGTTTTCTGGCATCTGTCTTGCTTGGTGTTCCCTTCCTGGATCTGTGGTTTGGTCTGACATTAATTTGGAGAGATTCTCAGTCATTATTCCTTTAGATAGTTCTATTTCTTTTTTCTTTCTTCTCTTAATATTTCCATCATGCATATACATTCTACCTTTTGTAGTTATCTTACAGTCTTGGATATTAATTAATTTTTTGGAGTATTCTCTTTCATTTTTGGTTTTTGAGAATTGTATTGATACATCTTCCAGCTCAGATTTTTTTTTTTTTTTAATCTGTGTCTGGTCTGATAATAAGCCCATCAAAGGCATTCTTCATTTGGTTACGGTGTTTTGTTTTTAATCTCTAGCATTTCTTTTCAGTTCTTTACAAGGATTTCCATCCTGCTAGCATTGCCCATCTTTCTTGCATACTGTCTACTTTATTAGAGTCTTGAGCATATTAATCAGAGTTGTTTTAAATTCTGACATTCTTGCGGTTTATTTACGATGATTGCTTTTTGTCTTCAAATTGTGTTTTTTGCATTTTGGTTATCCATGCTTGCCTGACTCCCTCCCTCCCTATTTTTAAATAGCCAGGTCTGATTGATTACTGGTTAAAAGGAACTGATATAAATAAGCCTTTAGTACTGTGGTGGTAAGGTGTCAGGAAAGTCATGTGATCCATAGCTCATTCATTTACTGAGCCTATGCCTCTTGACTGCCAACTTCACTAGTGTTTCTTAGTATTTCCCGCTGCGGCTGGCGCAGTGCCCCCCCCCCCCCCCCCGTGCCCCCTGTCCCCCCCCACCACCCCCGCCCCATGGGACAGGATGCTTTGAATAGGCTGGATTTACATGTTTCCTCTCCCCAGGTCAGTTAGCCTCTGGCTATCTAGTTTCCCCAGGGGGCTTTGTTATTAAGGATAGAGTGCTCTGGCATATTTCAATATTATTTTCTCTTCACTGCTGGAAACCTGAGAAAAATTTTCTCTGATATTTATGGTGGCACATGCCTCCTCCTTCACCATATAACCGAGTCCCCCTTCCCCATATTTTAACCGTCAGAGTTGTCTATACTGAAGCTCTAGCAATTTGTCAGTTACAGGGCAGGTTTTCCTATTCGGTACTGGTTGTCAGTGGTTTTTGTTTGAGTTCCTGTTCTGATAAGCTGTGGTATGACTTGTATTTGTCTGTCTGTTTCTCCAGTTTTAAGGAAAGTATTTTGCTCTGTGTCCTCCCTTGTCTTATGAATCCAATAAGAATTGCTGATTTTTCAGTCTGTTCAGCGTTATACTTGATGTTGGGATGGAGTGCGACTTCCATTTTTCTTACAGGTGGAACTGGAAACCTGCATACTAATTTAAACAAAATATTGAAACCCTTAATGTCTGTGGAATGTTGTCATGGGACATAGCTCTGTGAAATCCACCACTGTCAAATAATGTGGAAAACCTTACAAGATCACTAAGAGGCTCCATTTGAGGCTCTCTGTGAAATTTTCTTTTTAAAACAGGGGTTGCAAATTCAAGTACTATTAGGGTCAAGACTATGTAGATGTGTAAACCATAGTGAACTGGAAAACACATTTCTGCATATTCCCCATCTGAGGGTGATACTTACTGATGGCCTGCTATTTTCCAGGTACCTTTTCACAAAGAGGAAACTACAGTTTTAAACAAAAGTCTACTTTAAGCATTGGTTTATTGTTCAGAGAAAAATTAGTTGGCAAAAGCAAATATGCCTGTGAATCGTTAGTTTGCCATTTATGTTGTAGTGTCTGGGAAAATTTCTTTTTCAAATTTGTTTACTTTTTCAGTAACAGAAACTGTGTGTGTATGCGCGCATGTGTATGTGAGTGTGTGTTATGTGTGCCTGTGTATGTTGTCTGGCATCCAAGAAGACCAGAACCCCAAATCAAAACCGTAGGACAAATGTATAAATCTTTATTGTAGGCTTTACCCATGATGTACTCCAGTATTTGCGTCCAGTGTTAGGGATTAGTCAGTATGCTTTTGATCAACAGCAACAAAATCAAATTAATTGTGGTGTAAACATTAAATGTGTCCATTGGCTTATGTAAGTGTAGGGGTAGTACAGCGTTCAGGGTTGGTTCCTGTCATTCAGCCTTATCACAAAGGATCTAGCTACCTTCCATTTTATAAGGATTGGGCCTTTTAGAAGTGTGGTTCTGTTTCTCTGTTGATGTGTAACTTTTCCCTAAGTGTTCTTGTTAGTGACCAGTTTCTTAAAATACCTTTAAATTATTTTCAAAATATTGTGTGTTCATTCCATTCCTTCTCCTTAAGCATGTTCCTTACTATTTTCATACTCTCCCAGTACCTGTGACCTACTTGATTACCATCTCTTTGCCCAGTTTCCCCCAATCTCAAGTCAGGGAAGAAAGAGCAGGCATATGGCCACTGTTCTCTTATATAAGCCCCTTCTTTCCCTTTTCTCAAAAAGAAATGTTTTCCATTTGAGTTAAGAAATATTGTGGAATTTGACAAGAATAACAGTGTTCTTTAGAATAAGAAAGCTGATATAGCTGAATCTGAAAATGACTTGTGTAGTTGCAAGGGCACTGACTCTGGAGTCGAGTCCTGTGACAGTTCTCGCCATGGTAATTTGTGTCTTTGGATGAGCATTATACCTCTTTGGGCCTTAATTTTCTGTTAACAAAAAATGTCAGTGAGAATTTAATAGAAATCGTGTATAAAATGCTTCTTATGAGCCTGGCTTAGGACAAAGGCTCAGTAAATGTTTTACAAATTTTAATATGGAGCCTTTTCCAGTTGGCTTCATTACCTTCATTAAGACGCAGACCTTTGAAGCTGAGCCCTAGAATTCTGTAGAGAAATCCAAGCTGGGTATATTTTGGTAGCGACCGTTAATCTCCAAAACAGACATTCATTAAAACTCATGAAGAAGCTCACCTTAAGTGACTTCTCATGGACCCTGAGTTGTTATTCATATACATACTCTTTTTTTTTTTTGGCTGATGTGTATTTCTTATCTCCTTTGCTTTTTTGTTTGAAAGGATTGGAGATGGACAAAAAAGGCTTTGCAGTCTTTTTTTTTTTTTACATTTTATTTATTTATTTTTAGAGCGAGGGGAAGGGAGGGAGAAAGAGAGGGGAGAGAAAGATCAATGTGTGGTTGCCTCTCACATGTGCCCAACTGGGAACCTGGCCTGAAATCCAGGCATGTGTCCTGACTGGAAATCGAACCAGTGACCATTCGGTTTGCAGGCCAGCACTCAATCCACTGAGCCACACCAGTCAGGGCAACTTCGCATTCTTTTTATAGTACACTTTAAAGTTTTAAAAAATCCACCATTGTAAAAAATAAGACTTTTGGGAATATATACTCATTATAATTTATTGCTCTGCTTTACATTTTGAAAAGCCAGTTGTTACTATTTCTATTTTGCCTGTCTAGGAATTCACAATTATTGTTCCCTTGTCACCAGTCACAGCAACACTATCAGTGGCATGAAAATTGTTGTTACGGCAATCATTTCAGGCTCTGTCTCAACAGGTGTTAAAAACTGCCCATTCCTGATGAAGAACTTGAAAACCTTCCATTTTCAAAGCACATGTCCTTTTTTCCTAACCCTTATGTGTAATCCTTAGCCTGGAGTGCATTAGTGATTTTAAGACATATTTAGTGGCAAACCATCCCTTCAAAGTTTTTTGGGAGCTCCCTTTATATAATAGGCACATTTGGGAACCCTGTTTTTGTTTGTTTGTTTGTTTTAAGGGAGGGTTTCAGATGGGAGTGGGGATTATTCCCTAACCGCAGCACTCTCCCCATAGCTTGGGGTGGAAAACCACTGAAGTGAAGTTTCCATGCATTTTTTGTTTCCTGATTCCTTGTGCCTAGGTTTAGAATCACACACGGCAGGCAGTTTACTCATTATTTTACTTACTAATGGCTATACTAACTATTGTTTCGGTTTTGCTAGCAGTATCCTTTCAGTGGTTAAAAGCAGTCCCCTGATAATATTTGTGCAAAAGTTTTCTTTCCAGCTTACTGACTTGTCCTTACAGAAGCCGTGGCACTAATAGAATTGAGTCTTATTACAAAAGCAATAGAATTGAAGAGGAATCAGAACTAGAAGCAAGCTTTCATGTGTGGGATGCTTTTCCACTCTTGAACAGAGTTCCTTAAGAATGAGTCTTGAGTTCTCCTGTTCTGTAACCAACAGGAGGACTCACAAATGGCAGTGGAAGATACATCTCTGCTGCTCCCGGCGCTGAAGCCAAGTACCGCAGTGCGAGCAGTGCCTCCAGCCTCTTCAGCCCCAGCAGCACCCTTTTTTCTTCCTCCCGTTTGCGATATGGAATGTCTGATGTCATGCCTTCTGGCAGGAGCAGGCTTTTGGAAGATTTTCGAAATAACCGGTATCCCAATTTACAACTGCGGGAAATTGCTGGGCATATAATGGAATTTTCCCAAGACCAGCATGGGTCCAGGTGAGGACTTGGTTTTAGGAGCTAAGGTAACTGAAATCTTAATGCCTTAAATTTCATGCCTCAGATGAGAGTATGTGCTAAGTAAATTGCCATAAAAAGAATTAAAACAGTTTGCCTCTTAGTATACTCCCCATTATTTCAGAGAAATGTGGATTACGAGGATCTCCGGATACACAAGTGATTAAAAAGAGCCTTTCAGAAATTGGGATCAAATGCTTAATTAAAACAAACTTTTTTTTTTTAAAGAAATCTTTTTACCTTTCTGAAAGATTGATCTGGTTTCCTAGTTCAGGAGACCCCCACAACATGGCTACAATGTAAGAAACAGAAACACTAAGGCAAAGACATGTATCTGCACATGTTTGTTGCTTTAATCCCTATTAAGAATTATTCAGATATAAGTTTCTAATTCTGCTGCTCAGGAGTAAGACAACTCTACCATGTTTCTTTGTTGTTTCATTCTGTAGAAGTGAGAGTCTGCATAGAGGTAAGAGAGAAGCTATTACAAATCAGACTTTAGCTTGGTTTATCCGTCCCTGTTTAACTATTCCAGTAGGCTTCACAGAAAGAGACCCTGGTCCTGGGGAGAAAGCATAATTATGATGTTACTCATCCTTTTTTCCTACTTACCTACTTTTCTCTTTCTCTTTGTGCCCACTGAAACAAATTCTGAAGACCTTTCTCATTAAGTTCTCCCAGCTTGCTACTCAGCAAGGATTTCTTATATTGAGAGCCTATAAACCAGGCTGAGAGACAATATGATTTTTTTTTAAAATTCTCACCCAATAACATACTTTGATTATAGAGAGAGAGGGAGAGAAATATCATTTGGTTGCCTCCTGTATGTGCCCTGACCGGGGATTGAACCTATGAACCTTTGTTCTATGGGACAGTGCTCTAGCTGCACCACACCAGCCAGGGCAACATGCCGGTAGTCACCTGAACTAAAAAAGGCAAACTGAGTAGCTACTACTTCAGAATACCTTGTAGACATTTATAACAACTGTTCCGTATCCTAAATGACTATTGCTTCATATGCATATGAGGTAAAGAATGTAGTAAGGACCATAAGCTTTGAGCCTCTTAATGTGGGAAAGATTTCTAAAGGAAAAAGTCAGGTGGAGTTCTCCTTGTATTATGTGCCTGCCTTCACCCCCTTCTCTCTTTTCCTGTCCCCCTCAAACCCATATAAAAATTTTGTGCGTATGTCCTGTAAAGAAATATGCTAAGACTTAAATCTACTTTTTTTTAATTTTAAAGATTTTATTTACTTATTATTTTTAGAGAGAGGGAAAGGGAGGGAGAAAGAGAAGGAGAAAAACATCGATTGGTTGTCTTTCGCATGCTCCCAACTGTAGACCTGACCTGCAACCCAGGCATGTGCCCTCACTGGGAATCGAATCGGTGACCTTTTGGTTCACAGTCTGATGCTCAATCCACTGAGCCACACCAGGCAGGGCTAAATCTACTTTTAAAAGGTCAGTTGATTTAGGGTATACCACAAATATTTTTCTCTTCTTAAAAATTCTTCAATTAAGTGAGCTCAAGGGATTCATTTGAATAATACTTGTGTGTTTGTGCACCCGCATGCATCTGTGCCTGTGTGAACGTACATAACAATACATACATAGGTTCAGAAATCATACATTATATAAGTTGAGCTCATTCTTACTTATTTCCAAGTTCTTAAAGTGCTATGATTGCCCTTTTTACTTTGTACTTCAGATTCATTCAACTGAAACTAGAGCGTGCCACACCAGCTGAACGTCAGCTTGTCTTCAATGAAATCCTCCAGGCCGCTTACCAGCTAATGGTGGATGTGTTTGGAAATTATGTCATTCAGAAGTTCTTTGAAGTAAGCCTTTGTTCTTTCTGTCATTTGACTTTAGAGAATTTCCAGAGCATTTTGATTTTCATTATATGTTTTTAGAATTACAATCCCATTCTGGTCCTCAAAATGAAGTATGTGTGGTCTTTTTAAAGAGTTCCTTTCTTTCTTTCTTTTTTTTGGGGGGAAGTATCTACTCCTTATATATGAGATATAATTGACATATAATATTGTGTAAGTTTAAGGTATATAGTGTGTTGATTTGATACACTTACTGCAAAAGGATTCCAACTGTAGTGTTAACTGACACCTTCATCATGTCACATAATTGCCTTTTTGTGTTTGTGTGTGGTGAGAACATTTAAGATCTCACTTAGCAACTTTTAAATATATAATACAGTATTATTAGCTCTAATCTACTTGTTGTCTACGAGATTCCCAGAACTCACTTCTTTTATAGCTGGAAATACAGAGTTTCTGAAAGTTTTCCAATTCATTTGCAGCAGTGTTTCGTGTAAATGCCCAAGCAGATGATGCCAGTCTATTTTAGAAATGTGTTTAGAGGACCATTGTCCCTGTTTAATCCAGTACATTATAGTAGTTTCACTAAACATGTCATTTGGGGGGGGAAATAATTCTTGTAAGACAACTTTAGTAGTATCACAATAAATTGTTTTGAAAAATAAATATTTTTTTAAAGATTCATAGGGAATTATCTTTGAACAAGAACTCTAGTGTTTTTCATCATAAACTGCAATTGTGAGGATTCCTGAATGCGTCTTGGGTCATCCTTTGGCTTTGGTTCCTTTGTTTTCCTCCATTAATGTGAATGATATTCTCTTTTATTATCATTGCCTTTGGAAAGAATTAATGAGATTGTTGGATGAGTGTCTGTTCCTTACTGAACTAAACTGGCAGAAAGGCAGGAATTCTTGCCTTACCACTGTAGCCCTGGTGCACTGGGATCTACAACCCCAAGGTATAAATCCATAAAGGAATGAAGCATTGAGGTGAAGAATCAAGTAGAGGGGGAAGTACTGAAACTATACAGTACCAGCCTGCCACAAAAGAAATTTGTCAACTTCTTATATGTCTTTTTTTTTTTTTTTTTAAGATTTTATGATTTTACTTATTTTAGAGCGGGGGAAAGGGAGAAAGAGAGGGAGAGATAACATCAGTGTGTGGTTGTCTCTTCCATGCCCCCTGCTTGGGGACGTGGCCTCGCAGCCCAAGCATGTGCCCTGATTGGGAATTGAACTGGTGACCCTTTGGTCATAGGCAGGCACTCAGTCCACTGAGCCACACCAGCTAGGGCTTATTTTTTACTTTATTTTACTTTTTTTGATCTCTGAAGATTTTAAAAATGGCTATATCTTCCTAACTTTTCTCATAAAAACAAATTTTTGATTAAAGACTTGATTCTCCAGCCGTGAACTAAGAAATCAATCTAAACATGACTTAGACTATTTTTTCACTGCAGTTTTGTCAGATATAAAAATACAGATATCTCCAGCTCCAGAGGTTAAAGTAGCTAGTGGTGGCTGAACGAATAGTGCATTATAGTCATATGATTTGGGACAAGCTACAGAAATTCCCTCAGTAAGAGAAAGTTCCTGGACCTTAGTTCCCTTGTGTAGAAAAGGAGTGGATTAGGCATAAAGTCTCTTCAGTCTTGTGATTATGCTATTCAGACAAAACAAAAAATCCAGAGGTGGAAAATCATTCTAGAAAGAATTTTAACATGGTACAGCAGTACCTCTTGATTCTACTTCCCCCCAACTCTGTTGCCTTGTATAATAGATAATATCAGTTCTTCTAAAGATCCAAAACACTAATTCGAAACAGTGTCCATATATGCTTTGGCTTAAATTGCATGTAATTGAAGAACTTTTTTGTCTGGTCCTCAGACACCTGAAGTGCTATTGATTTGTTGTAGGAGTCCTTGAATCTTCCCCAGGCATTGGCTAAAGCCCTAATAAACAACGTTTCCCATATGGATTATTAGAGTGAACAGATGCACTTGTAATTAATTGAGTATAGATTTTTAAAATAGTATTAATGAATTAATAGCAACTTTGAGCTCTAAGTACGTTTAGCAGATATTAATAGTGAAGCTACTACTTTTGGTAGCCAAGAAACTTTTTAACATTAGAAACAGTTCCTAGTAATAAGAGACCGAGAACTACTTTGTTGAAGAAACGCAGGTTTTTTAAACAAGAGGTTTAATACTAGGTGACTGGGCTAAAAGGGGTGGGCCAGTGGTTGATAAAGAATAATGAATGCATTGCTTTCTCTGGTTTCTTTCCTTCTACCTAAGTAATGGTGTTCACCCACACATTATGTCTAGTTTGGCAGCCTTGAACAGAAGCTGGCTTTGGCAGAACGGATTCGAGGTCATGTCCTGTCATTGGCACTGCAGATGTATGGCTGCCGTGTTATCCAGAAAGCTCTTGAATTTATTCCCTCAGACCAGCAGGTACTTGTAAGTTTCCCCTTTAACTTTTCTCTTGGTGTTTGATGTTTCTCCATGGTACGTGTGGTGAGCCTTGTAAATTGTCAGGTTTTAGTTTTCTTTTACAATTTTTCTTTGGTGCTTGTGGCTGCCTTTCTGTGCATGGCAAGTGTGAACTGTGCAATTTGTAAATTTATAGTAGATGAAGTGTCTTGTTAAAACCATGGGTATTAGACACTTCGTTCTCTTCAACAACAACTTAGGCTTTAGTAGTTGCAATTTTACAGGTGGGTTTTTTGTTTGGCAAGAGTTGAAAGATATAAGATACTAGTAAGTTGTCATTTTCTTTAGCCTGAACTGACCACTCCAACAAAGCAAACATTAATCCAGTCCACCTCCTATTTTCCTTCACTTGCTCGCTCTCATTCATTCACCCCACCACCATTTACCGAAGGAGTGCCTGCCCAGTGCAGTGGCAGGCCTGGCACACAGACCTGATGCCCACTCGGTGCCAGACGCCAGTGCAGAGATGGCAGACTCCTCCCTGCCCCCGGAACACAGTGCGGGGCAGCTCAGCGGCCTGCAGGGGGCCGAGAGCATGTGGCCCAAGTCTCTGAGGGGAGGCTTTGCAGGAGGAGAAGTCCAGGCTAAAGAGGAGTCAGGCAGAAGAGGGAGAGAAGTCTGAAGTGCTGGGTGCTGTGAGTGGGCGCTGACCCAGAAAGCCCCTGCCGCGGCCCACGGCGTCAGACGCAGTCATGGTGCAGGTCCCGCCAGGCTCACCCAGCCCCGCAGAGACCACAGGGCCCAGGAAGCCTAGGGCACTGCCGGGCCGGTGTGCTGCAGCTCTGCGCTGTGAGCCCTGGGGTGCTTCTGATTGGGCCCCTCAGCCTCTGGGCTCTGAACTCACTCCGCCCTTCACAGTGGCGGGGATGGCCTCGTCCTGGCAATGATGAGCCACTTGCCCTCACTGAGAACAAAGTTCGGTAATGAGAATCTTTGTTATGGACTCAAGTTCTGAGCCAGACGAGGCACCTGCCACCTGCAGTTCAAAGCAGAGCAAAACGAAACACCACACTGGTGTTAGCGATGGTGGCGGAAGGCTGGGGGAGTCCAAAGTCCTTATGTTGTGAGACTCAGAAGTGCGTGAAGGCGGAATGTTGGAGACGCACAGCAGGGTTGGAGTTTGTTCTTTCAGTGCTCAGTACTAGAGGATGGCACAGTGATACAGTGGTGTTGTATGAAAGCAATTAGAGGCAGCGGTGAGGCTACTACTTTTAGTTTTCTAACAAAAAACGTTCATAATTTATCAGTTTTAATTTTACCCGGGATTTTCACGGATAAAAATAACATGGTCAAATCTTTCCTTTTTAATTTTCTGGTTTCTTTCTTTCTTTCTTTCTTTTTTTTTTTTAATAACATGGAAATTTCTTCCTGCTTTTGACCTTAATGCCCATTTACTGAAAGATACCAGGAATATTACAAATTCCAAGAAATTATTTTTTTCTTTGCCCTCTCCCATGATTGTGATGACATGTTGATTTTGTCTCCCAGTTTTTCAGGTTTTACTATTTTCTGATTGGATCACAACATTGTAGCTTTTCACCTCCCTCTCCTTCCCCCAACTCTTGTTCTTTCTACCCTGTCTTGTCCTTGTTTTTTCCTGATCTGGTCTGACATCTTATTCTGGGCCTGAACTTCTCCTGCTATGAATAATTTATTGTTTTCTAAATACAAGTTTATTATTTTGGTGAAATGAACTCATCTCTAGTGGTTTCTTTGGACTTAAGAAAATATTTAGGGAAGCCACTTCCCCTTCATTTCAATTATAGGTGTTTCTTGCCTTTATATAGGCATCATTCTCTACTTATCATTTCCATAATTGTATTTCCAGAATAAATATTTTTCCCTAACATTTGATTAATTGCTTTAGGTAACTTTCCCAAGTTTATTGCCCTTTGCTTGTCCCTGGCATTGTAATACTGGTTTTTAAAAACCAGAGCATTTCTTAGATGGTTTGACATATTCAACATCTTGAGAATTTAAGACTTTGCATTCATAAATGTCACCATTTTATACTGACTTGTAGTCTTCCACCATACATAGGGAGTCAGTACAGTGGAGCTAATATACAGAGATTGGATACAGCAGGGAAACTGGGTAGCAAGTACCAGGTTCCTAGACATGCATGGTACAGGTATGCAGCTTCAAGAGACCTGAAGGAGCAAATTTGGGGGAAGGGGTCCAGTCAAAAAAAATCTCATCTTGTTTTCTATATACCCTGGTCATTCTCACCCATGCCCTATACATACACAGACCCCTCAGTGTTTCCCCTGTGTGTTACCTGAGTTTGGACACTATTCATTAATTCACTGAGAGGACTGTTCTGTTGACATCGCAGTCACTGTGGCCTGGTGGAAACATCATGTTGGAGTCACAGACCCAGGCTAGATTTGGTCACTATCTGTAGTTTTAGATACATTACTTAATGCCTTTTAGAATCAATTTCTTTATATATGAATGGAGGGGTTGTGGATAAAAAAATGTAATTGACAGGTGGTTTATTGACACACACTGTTTTGCCATATACAGGAGCCATTTTGCTTGTATTTGTCTCTTGCCAGTCTTGGTCTATGATTTAAACAAGTCATTTAATTTGTCTGTCTTGGTTCCATACCTGTAATAGTGTGTAGTCCATAGGATTGCTACGAGGATTCATTGAGTCAGTGCATATAAAGCAGTTAAAAGTATGCCTAGTCTATAGTGAGCACTAGATGAACAACTATTAATGATAATGTGCACCTTACAGGGTTGTCTTAATAGAAACATGTTGAATTGCATGTGAAATTCTGTAATGTATAGTTCATATAGGTTCCATTCTATTTGAAGATGTCTACATTTTTTAATCTCCCAGGGGACTTTTACAAGTTAGTAGCTTTTAAAAGACTGGTTATTGTTACAAGAAGTTTGCTAACATGGAAACATTCTATTTATCATTTATTACCATAATGCCACATTTGACATGTTTCACTTTCATTATCATGGAGTCCCTTCCTGCTCAGTGCTTTTGTGTTTGGTAAGGTGAACATTGATTGTCCAGGTGTTTGCTTGCTGTGATTCTGGTGGTGCTTTCTTTCCTTGTCTCCAATAGAATGAGATGGTTCGGGAACTAGATGGCCACGTCCTGAAGTGTGTGAAAGACCAGAATGGCAATCACGTGGTTCAGAAATGCATTGAATGTGTGCAGCCTCAATCTTTGCAGTTTATCATTGATGCGTTTAAGGGACAGGTAAGTGACTTAGGAAAGAAATAAGGGAAACAAATTGATACATGTTTCCATTGTGATCAGAGAAGAGGACAGGATTTGTGGAGTGTTCTCAAGTGCTCCAGTAAACAGCAGCTCTGTTCAGTGGTGTCAGACACCTGGCTCTGTGTACCGAAGTTTCTTTCTCCTCTTAACTGTCTGTGGATCTTCTCTCCATCATTAATGCAGATGTCTGCTCATGTTGGGATGAGCTAGTCATCAGAGTTGTTGTGGTTAAATCTCATATTCGAAGAATAAATTTTTCCTTTGGTTAAGTACTGTTTATCTTGATGTTTAAAAGTTTTAATCATTTTAAATTCAAGCCATTTTCAGAACTAATCTTGCAGGTTATATGTGAATATATGTTTAAAATAACAAGGTTTCTTGCTTAATTTTTTTGTGGAGGTGGGTAGGGTGGTGATCATATTGATATGAACTCTATTAAGCGGCAGCACAGCTAGAAATAGCTTTTATTTACTTATTTTTATTTAGCTGTATGTCACAAGAGCCTGTATGCTCTTAGCACCAGTTTCCAAGCACAGTTTTCTTATACTATGGTTTTTCTAGAATTGCCCTTTAATTCACTATTGTCATTAACTTCTTTCACACACACACCCCCACCCTCACACCCCCAAGTCTTCATACCCCTCCCAAGCCAGATGGGACAAGAGAGTGAAACATCGCTTTTTGGGTGTGCCCAAATTTTTTTCACAAGAGGAAAAAAAAGGGAAATAAGCAGATCTTTCGGGTGTAAGTTATGTGTACTGCTAAGCCTAGATTGAAATGAGATTTTAGAGTTTTTTAGGTTTTGGGATTTGTTCAAATATGGCAGGGGAATGTAAATTACAGATATTAACTCAGGGAGTAACTGGTATTTTCTGAGTTAATGAAAAAAAAAGTAGATCTTTTTATTTCAAAATTAAGATCTTAATATTTTTTGAAATATGTAACTGAGAAAGTAACATTAAACAACTAAATGGGAAAGAATATTTTCAAGATGAAACTGCCAGAGTTAATAACCAGAATATATAAAGAATCCCTGTAATCAAAGAGAACAATATAAATTAATGTGACAATGAGCCAAAAGCATGGATAGGTAGAAGAAACACAAATTTCCTGTAGACATATGAAAAAATAATTACATTTTAGTAATTAGGAATATGCAAAATAAAGCCACAAATGATAGACTACTTTCTACCCACTGGTTGCGATGTATTGGCAGAATGTGGGATGTGATCCACTGCTGCTGGGAATAGATATTAGCACAACTGTTTGGGAAAATTTAGTATCATCTTTCAAGATCAACACTTATATTTTCTGTGACTTACACTCCTGGCCTAGGTGTATACCAGGTGAAACATCTGCAGATGTACATCACAGGCCATATTTAGACATACTCAAAGCAGCATTATCCTCCTAGTAGGAAAAGACTAAAGTATCCAGATGTCCATTAGCAGAGAATCGGATGAAAAATTTTAAAATAAAATCCCTGTATACTTACTGAACATTATACTGTACAGCTATACAGAGTAAACTTCAGAAGCCCACCATATTCTAAATAAATATTTGAAACATAAAATTGAGTGAAATAAGTTGTTCCAGACTGTTATGTTTAGCATTTCTGTAGTTATAATCGAGCAGAACCATGCAGTATACTGTTTAAGTATGTAGTTGTACACATGACCCTACATATATAAAACCACATATAAAGCACATAGTGCAGTGACCAACACTTCTAAATATATAATAAGTATTAGGTATTGTTAAGGTTTTTACAATTATCGTCATTTTTTTAAAAGATTTTATTTATTTTTTAGAGGGAGGGAGAGGGAGGAAGAAAGAGGGAGAGAAACATCAATGGATTGCCTCTCTTGACGCATCCCAACTGGGAACCAAACCCGCAGTCCAGGCATGTGCCCTGATTGGGAATCAAATTGGCGACCTTTCGCTTTGCAGAGCAACACCCAACCCACTGAGCCACACCAGTCAGGGCATATTGTCATTATTCTTGATGACAAACCTGAGTTGCAAGTTGATCCAGGTCATTTGGCTAGGAAGGGCAGAACCAAGATCCGGTGGTCTGGACTTGAAGCCTGTGTCTTATCTTGCACCAGACTCAACAAAAGAGCCTCTCTGGCATATTGCTAGAAAACACCCGAGGTCAATTCAGAATGTTACCTTATGATTATGTGAAAGCATAACTTTTCTGTTTTTCTCATTCCCCAGCCCTTTTTCTGTTTTCACCCGTTCTTTGGCGTGAACTCTTAAACCAAGTGTATTTTTCATGACCTCAGCGAATTCTGTTCCTTTCTAGGCTCCTTGGAAAAGTCCTTTTCAGCTCTGAATTCCTAGAATAGTTAAGAAAAGGGTTTACATACAAACATACATACGCACCTTATTATAGAGAGAACTTAATGTTATATTTATAATTTGAACTTTTGAGTCACACTAGAAAATAATATCCTGGCTTTGCCATTTACTATCTGTATGACTGTTGACACATTATGTAAACTATAGGAGATTCCATTCTCTCATCTGTATGTAGAGAATAACCATGATTGTCTGTGAAGGTCATTGTGAAGATTAGTGGGGTAATGTAATTAATAATCTGAAGCATTGACAGTGACGGCTGTTACTTTTGGCTTTCTTACCGTTTGTCTGGCCTAGGTGTTTGCTTTGTCCACGCATCCTTACGGCTGCCGAGTGATTCAGAGGATCCTGGAGCACTGCCTCCCTGACCAGACACTCCCTATTTTAGAGGAGCTTCACCAGCACACAGAGCAACTTGTACAGGTAGTGGAGTTGCCAGTAGAGTAACTGCAAACACCTGTGGGCTCATGCAGGCCCAGAGCTTGTGTGTTTTCTCAGCACAGGTATCCATTCCAGTAGAGGATAATGTTAATGTGTTTAAAATGCCCGCTGAAGCTTTTGGGCAAGTTATCATTTACCCCAGCCTGGTTCATGTTTTGTGAATGCAGGTAATAACTAGAGCCTGGCCTTGGAGCACAGAGCTATGCCTGCTGGAGCTCTGCTGTGTACTAGCCAGCTGTGTCACTTTGGGCAGGCCGTTTTGTCTCCATCTCAGTTTTATGATTTCAAATTAACTAAGTAGATTAGTTGATTTCTTTCTAGCGTTGATGCTTTCTTTTGCATCTACCACTACAAATTTCTCCCACGTCATACTAACCATTTGACTACTTCTGCGTATAGTATGTTATACTGAAGCAATTTTCTTAAAGCCAGAGTTTATATCTATTAAAAATGCTTAAGGCTTTAAAAATGTCCAAAGGCCCAAAGATGTCCTGAAGTAATTTTTTTGGGGTTAGCATTTGTTTTTTGTTTTGGTGGCAAGTGTGATATTGTAAATGTATTAAATATTCATTGTAGAAGAACTTGAAAGTGCAGAAAGTAACAACAAAAGAAATTATTTGTAATCCTGCCATCCAGAAGGAAACATACTTGGCATTGGCACTTTTAAAAAAATATTACTTGTATGCCTTTAATTTTTTACATCTTACAAAAACCATACTTTTGCCTTTAGAATTCTTTACACACGTTTATTTTTTCAAAGTGTCTTTCACTTTAGGTGAATGAGGATGTCCGTTATATGCTTGCTGTGTTATTTAATTAGGAATTGTCTGTTTTGTTCGATGTAAACTTTGTTTCCAGTTTTTCTTTGTTGTAGATAGGCACAGTAACTATTTGTACATTTCTGTCAGAGAAAACTATTCTTTATTGCCACCTACCATCCTTTTTTTGTTTGTTTTTGCGTATAATATTTTACAAAGAACCCAACTAGGCTCTTTGGGCGTGCATGCGTGTGTGTGTGTGTGTGTAACATATATATAATATATATAAAAATATGTATATTTATAAATAAATATATATAAAAATATTCCATTGTCTAGTAGCAATGTGTTCATGTTTTGTAATCATAGGAGAAATTGTCATTACCTATTTTTAAAATTCTTACGTGTTCATTAGTATTCAAAAAAGCCATCAGACATCAGAGTGTTGTAGGAAAACAGGAGTTGATTAGATAAAAAGACCTAGGAAACCTCTGAACTCATTTTTTTAAAAAAAAAATTTGTATTTATTTTTATTGTATAAACCCCCATAGCCCTTTTTTTAAATTGGATTTATTGGTGTGACACGAGTTAACAAAATTCTATAGGTTTCAGGTACACAGTTCTACAACACATCGCACTGAATTATTGTGTGGTTACCCCCCCCAGTCAAGTCTCTGTGCATCACCATTTACCCCCCATCCTCCCCTCCACTTCCCCCAATCTCCCTCCCCCAGCAATCAGCACAGTATTGTCCGTGTCTGTGAGTTTTTTGTTGTTTTTTTGTTTTGTTTTGTTTTGTTTTGTTTGAGGCCTCCCCACAAATGAACTCATTTTTACATGAATTTTATTTTTGTTATTTCTTAAACAGGATCAATATGGAAATTATGTAATCCAACATGTATTGGAGCATGGTCGTCCTGAGGATAAAAGTAAAATCGTAGCAGAAATTCGAGGCAATGTACTTGTACTGAGCCAGCACAAATTTGCAAGGTATGGGCTATGAATTACATACTCTGTTTCCCAGAAGAGAGGATTAAATAGTATTTTAGGTCTAAAGAGAAGGAAAGAATTTTCATTTTAAAAAAATGTTTCTTTTTCTTAAAGTATACATAATTTAAAAAGTCAAGTAGTTCTACTACAAAGCATAAACATAAGAAATCCGTTAGTGGGTTTCTCATTTCCCTAGAGTCAACCCCTGGCCAGTGCGACTTGGTTGGAGCACTGTCCTGTAACTGAAAGGTCTCCAGTTCAGTCAATTCCCAGTCAGGACGCATGCCCGGGTTCAGGTTTGATCCCTGTTTGGGGTGCATGCAGGTAGCAGCTGATCGGTGTTTCTTGTATCAATGTTCCACCCCAAACCCCTGAATGAGAATAAAATAATTTAAAAAATATATATAAGTTTTGCACTTTGGTAAACTCAACATTTCATTAACTTATTTGTTTAGAATTACAAAATGTTCTTTATTCACTTTTCTCTTTGGCACATGAATTAAGAGGCAGTGTACCATATCTATGTATAGGCCTTCGTAGTCTCAGAAGCGATTTTTCAGTCTTCTGATTATACCAGTTTAAGTATAAAATGCACTAGTTATTCTCAGGTTGTGAAAGATGTTTTAGGTAACTTGCAAGTAGCATAGGTTGGAGAAGAAATTGATTGCCCTCCAATGGCTTAGTGATTTGGCCTTCTAAGTAGAATCTGCATAATCTGCCATACATGTAACACAGTACTTTATATTTCTCTCTTTTTTATAAGATTTTTATTTTTATTATTTATTTTTAGACAGCAGAGGAGGGAGAGAGAAAGAGAGGGAGTGAAACAGTGATGTGTGGGCGAAACATCAACAGTTGAGTTGTATCACTCGCCCTCAGCTGGGGACCTGGCCCACACCCCAGGCATGTGTTCTCACTGAGAGTTGAACCAGTGACCTTTTGGCTCATAGGCTGACGCTCAATCCACTGAGCCACACCAGCCAAGGCTATATTTTTCTTCTCTGGTTTTTAGGACAAATTGCAAGGCATGTGTGACTCATTATCTTGATGTTTTTAAATAGTTTATTTTTAGTTTGTAAAATCTTAAAACATCTTAGCATGGAAAATGGAGAAAAGAATTAAAAGCACCCATAGATCCAGAGTCTTAATAGCCTAATCATATCAGGGGTTATCTTGTAGGCGTTGTGTTGCGTCCATGCCCTACCTCCCAACCAGGGAAATGGGTACCTGAATCTCTTAGGTCTCTCCTCCTGGCCACTGTCCAGTTTACTTTTTTCTTCATTGTATTTACTGTCTCACCCTTGGATATAGTGTAAGTGTTAATATTACAAAGACTTTTGGTCGGGTGATGACTGAACAGCTACTGTAGACCCTGCTCTTCCACAGATAACAATGATAAATTGTGGACAAAATGCCAAAAGAAAAATCTGAAGGCATTAAGGAATGACCAAGAGCAGGTAGATTGGGGAGTGGGACTATTGATACTTGGAAGAAAGTAATTGCACTGGGAAATTGCCTTCCCTCCTCTTTGAAAACTTTTTTATTGTATTAAGATATAATTGACATATAACAATGTGCAACTTTGTATACAATGTGTTGGTTTGATACATTTATATATTGCACTATGATAACTACAGTTGTGTTAGCTACCTTTTTATCAGTCACATAATTACGGTTTTATTGTGTTGAGAACCATTATGATTTAGTCTCTTAGCAGCTTTGAAGTTTATGATACAGAATTGTTGCCTGTAATCAGGACATTTTCTATTTTTAATGGCTTTTAGCCTGTAGACTCTTCCCAGTCTGCTTCAAGCTGGGCTCCTAGGTTGGGGAAGAAAATCTCCAGTATTCCCAGAAGGCAGAGTTTTGGGAAATCATGGCAATAGAAGTGACAAAATGACAGGGAAAAAATCCTGAAAAGGAAGAGAACTATGGGAGGGAGTGTTTAAACTTCCCAAATATGTGGTTGACTCCTCAGTTACATTTACATGGGACGCACTCCAGGCAGCCCAGCTAAGCCTAAAAGAAATGGACCGAGATTTCACCTGCTGCTTGCTGCATGGGAGAAGCTCACAGTTTGAGCTCAGTCAACTTAAGTCCACTAAAAAAAGTGGTTGGAGAAGCAGCCTTCTGTGGAGGAACATAAAAGAACTCAGTTTCTACAGTTTGTCATTTTCTGTGTCTATATAACAGGAAAATGTGACCTGTGCTCAACAAAAAAGAATAAAAAGAAAATGAAAACAAAACAAAACCCACCCAGATGTTGGAGTTAGCAGAAGAGGATTATAAAGTAGCTATTTTAATTATACTCAGGGATATAAAGGGAAATATGCTGGTAATGAATTAAAATATAGCAAATGTTAGTGAGAATTAGAAGCTTTCTTATAAAAGAAAACAAAATGGAAATGAAATATATCCTCTAAAATAACATTTAATATATGGCCTTAAGAGTGAATTAGAGTCCTGGCTGGTGTGGCTCAGTGGATTGAGTGCTGGCCTGCAAACCGAAAGGTCACCAGTTTGATTCCCAGTCGGGGCACACGCCTGGGTTGCAGGCTAGATCCCCAGTTGGAGTCATACAAGAGGCAACTGATCGATGTATCTCTCACACATCGATGTTTCTCTCTCTCTCTCTCTCCCTACCCCTCTCTAAAAATAAATCAAATCTTCATAAGTCTATACTTTCCTAATTAAAAAAAAAGGTAAATTAGAGGAAACAGAAGAAGGAACCATTAAAATTGAAAATAGATCAGTAGGAATAAACCAAAAAATAGATTAGCAACTTTCTGACATTTTTAGTGGTCATTCAGAATACAGAGTAAATTTTTATTGACTCTGCAGCACAAGCACATGTGCACACATGTAACTGAACCTGTGTTGTCCATGACTGGTTCTGATACTTAACTGTTCAGTTTCGTTTTTTTTTAAATAAAGCTGGTCACAAATCGCTAAGTTGATTTTATCCCCACAAATGGGCTAGAAACCACAGTTTCAGAAACAATAGAATAAACTTTAAAGACTGAACCCATACTGATCAAGTGGAAGCCTTTGGCCAATTGGGATCCCATAGTGGTAGCTGATCTACCTGCTTGCTTTCTTGAAAGGCTGCTGAGAATTGAGTCCTCCACCCAGAAGAATGAGTGTCCTGTCCCCAACCCATTTAACAGAAAATCGTGTTCTAATCCTCGCCCCTTTGTAGAGAAGGTGGGCCTGGAGCAGATGAAGATGCACCCAGTCAAGCAGTCATGAAAAGTGTTGAGTTCTTTTTATGAACATTTGTGGCTGCCTTCGTGCTCTCGGGACCAGCCCAGAAAGAGCATAACTCCCTTTTCTGCAAAGGGAGAAGCCAGTGGCTATTGGATTCGTTTCCACTGTGCTGCGCCTTCAGCTCACGCCAGAATTGCATGGTACTGAAGAAGGAAGGTGGGGGGAAATTTGTCCTGTATCACTGTATCCAGAGGCTCTTGTCTTAATTGGATTTGATAGGTTAGCTCACCAGATATGATATATTCTTTCACTCCATATGTTGATAGAGTGTGGCAGTAGGGATATAGACATAAGGAAGACTTGTTCCTGGTCTCAGTAAGCCACAGAAGTGAAAATAGGTTTTGATTTATGTGGAAAGTGTGCTCATTTACTAGTCTGGCTGTTAACCAGTCTTATGAACCTTGTGTTTAAGTCCCTTCACTTACCTGGGCATGGTTCACTTTGGAAGCCACAGAAGGCAAAGGTAGAGGGTCTCAGAAGCAAACAGTTGATGAATTAATCTTTCAGAAATGTTAGATTTCTTGCTGCTGATCCTGAGGTCATGGCGGAGACCAGACAACCACTGGATCCCTTTCTCTAAGAGTTGTCCCTGGATTGTCTCATTACAGCAATGTTGTGGAGAAGTGCGTCACCCATGCCTCCCGCACGGAGCGTGCTGTGCTGATCGATGAGGTATGCACCATGAACGATGGTCCCCACAGTGCCTTATACACCATGATGAAGGACCAGTACGCCAACTACGTGGTCCAGAAGATGATCGATGTGGCAGAGCCAGCCCAGCGGAAGATAGTCATGCATAAGGTAGGCCAGGCGAGGCAGGTCTCAGAGAAAAAGTGTGCGAGGCCTTGGGTTCTTCATGTTTCTGAAATGCAGAAGAGGGTGAATATCTTGCTTCTTTCTGCAGAATTTGTCACTGGATTATGTCTTACGTTGTGTTCCCCTTTCCTTTTACATGGAGTGATCATTGCCCCATGTTTGCCACCCCTCCTTTATCAAAAGCTCAGTGTTGTGAGAGAGTCTTACACTCAGCCCTTGAGAGGGCTTTCCCTCCCTCATCTTCAGGCCATGCTTTTATCCACTTCCTCCCAGGAGCCCAGCTTCTCAGTCCAGCAAATCAACCCCCTTGCCTTATTTCCTTTTTTCCCTCCTCCCTCTCATTCACCCCACCACCATTTACCGAAGGAGTGCCTGCCCAGTGCAGTGGCAGGCCTGGCACACAGACCTGATGCCCACTCGGTGCCAGACGCCAGTGCAGAGATGGCAGACTCCTCCCTGCCCCCGGAACACAGTGCGGGGCAGCTCAGCGGCCTGCAGGGGGCTGAGAGCATGTGGCCCAAGTCTCTGAGGGGAGGCTTTGCAGGAGGAGAAGTCCAGGCTAAAGAGGAGTCAGGCAGAAGAGGGAGAGAAGTCTGAAGTGCTGGGTGCTGTGAGTGGGCGCTGACCCAGAAAGCCCCTGCCGCGGCCCACGGCGTCAGACGCAGTCATGGTGCAGGTCCCGCCAGGCTCACCCAGCCCCGCAGAGACCACAGGGCCCAGGAAGCCTAGGGCACTGCCGGGCCGGTGTGCTGCAGCTCTGCGCTGTGAGCCCTGGGGTGCTTCTGATTGGGCCCCTCAGCCTCTGGGCTCTGAACTCACTCTGCCCTTCACAGTGGCGGGGATGGCCTCGTCCTGGCAATGATGAGCCACTTGCCCTCACTGAGAACAAAGTTCGGTAATGAGAATCTTTGTTATGGACTCAAGTTCTGAGCCAGACGAGGCACCTGCCACCTGCAGTTCAAAGCAGAGCAAAACGAAACACCACACTGGTGTTAGCGATGGTGGCGGAAGGCTGGGGGAGTCCAAAGTCCTTACGTTGTGAAACTCATAGAAGTGCAGGTCAGGAGGCTGGTGAAGGCACAGGGAATGTAGGAGACGTGCGGAAGTTTAAAGCATGCCTCTTCCTTCACCCAGCAGATGCCCGTTAAGCACACATACTCTATAGCAGGCTCTCCTTTTGACAGGGCTGCTGTATTGGTGAGTACAACAGTATTATGTACAAATAGTTACAGTGATGCTAGGGATACATCAGGGAGAGCCCTGTGAAAATGTTGGCAGGGTGCCTCTTCTAATGGGGTATAGAGAAGGCCCTGCAAGAGTGACATTTGAATAAAGCCCTGAAAACCTTTCTAGGCAGAGGGTACCTGGCATGTGAAGGTTTGGAAGCAGGAGACAAGACAGTGTATTTGAAGTAGTAGGAGCAAGTTCATTACAGCAGGACTGTGGTGCAAAAATCACATTCACATTTCAAACAGTTGTCCTGGCCGTGGCTGGTGTGGCTCAGTGAGCTGAGTGTGGGCCTGCAAACTGAAGGGTTGCGGTTCAGTTCCCAGTCAGGACACATGTCTGGGTTGCGGGCCAGGTCCTGGGTTGTTGGGGTGTACGAGAGGCACCTGATCAGTTTTTCTCACATTGGTGTTTCTCTCCCTCTCTTTTCTCTCTCTAAAAATAAATGACTAAAATCTAAAACAAAAACAAAGCCCTGGCCAGTGGGTAACATGGGACTGGGAAGCAGATGAGGCAGTGCGGAGGCGGGGTGGGCGACTGCTGCGACAGTTAAGCCAAGATGATGGCGGCTGTGGGATTGAAGGGGGGGTGGGATAAGGTGGGGCTTAGCAGTTGGTTGGATGAGGGAGTTGGGTCATAAGCATCTAAAGACCTAAGAACTGTGACCTCTTTCCCTGCTAGGCTGTATGCTTTTTAGCAAGAGGAAATATTAAGAGTGGAGTAGGTAATCACCTCCCTTCACCTCCCTTTAAATAAGTAAAAAGTGGGGTTCCATAATGTAATACACATGCATCCTCATGGGTGTTCAGGTTTTTTGTCCTGCAAAGGAGAGGCATGAAGGTTTAGTGGCTGGACCCATCGATCAGCCAATCCCAGAGAGGGCTATGAAAGGCTAGGGGGTTGAACTTCATGCACTAATGACAAAAGCGTTAGCCAGGCAAACAGTCCTCACTACAACCCAAACAAACGTGTAGCATTATCACATTCTTTTTTACAGATGAGTTTCAGGAGGTTAGGCAGATGTCTTGGTCACCCACCTCAGAATTCGAGCTAATAACTTATTAATAATAATTTTTCCTCATAGGCTTCTAAGTGAGAATGTCATAGCTGATATGAGTCTTTGGTTTCTAGGGCCACCTGGCCCTTCCTTGCTTTGAGGGCGCAGGTAAAGAGACAAGCAGTTGTCCTCATAGAGCTCTTAATCTAGAGAGCTTGTCCGGAGTGTCTGAGAATGCAAGTGCGGTGTGGATGGGGAAACGGCATGGTTCTTAGCTGTCGGCGCAGGGATGGATGGTCAAACAAATGGTTGTGAACACTGGGTTACATGCGGTAGCTGATGTGTGTAGAAAACGCTATGAGCTCACAGGAGAGGAAACGTGGCCTGGCTCTCTGGGACACGCGGGACTCCTCAGTGCAGGCGTGGCCCGGGAGGGGGACCCGAGGAGAAGGCTGGGAGAGCTGGGCGGAGCGTGGCTTGGGGCGGGGGCGGGTGCAGCCAGCACAGCAGGCAGTGCCAGGGAGCCTGTGGGGAGGAAGATAATTTCTGGGGGAGCCAGCCAGTTGGCTCAAATACCCATGCTGTCCCTTGTTAGCTATTTAACTTTGGATGAGTGATTTCACCTCTATGCCTTCATCTTTCTCATCGGTCAAATGGAGATTATCACACCTCCTTTGGGAGGCTTAAATTAACAAGCCTGGCTCATGTGAGTCATTTTTATTGTCATTAGTTGCTTTCTGTGATCCTGTGTGAACTGGAAGACAGGGTTTGGCGGTGTGTTAGGGTCCACAGTGCCCTGAATCTCCCCCTCGCAGGAGAGCCACGGTGCCAGGTGCGGGCCGGGAGGGCAGAAGGCGTGCCCCGGGGAGGCTCCTTGCAGAGTGGGCGTGGGCATGGGCAGTGTGATCATCGGGATGGACTTCCTCCGCACGCTGTCCTGGGAGTGGTCCATGGCTGCCCAGCCTCCACCCTAGAGCCCTCATGTCCTGCATGAGCACGCAGGGTGGGAGCTGCTGGCCTCGTCTATGGGTCAGTGTAGCTCTAGAAGTCGGCTGCTTGGGCCACACCAGCCAAAGGTACTGTTTCGGGCTGTGCGTTCTTGTATGCATGTGGCGCTGCCTGGGAGCCCGCCCACTCGAGTGACACAGACTTGTGCTTCCTCCCCAGATCCGGCCCCACATCGCGACTCTTCGCAAGTACACCTACGGCAAGCACATTCTGGCCAAGCTAGAGAAGTACTACATGAAGAATGGTGTTGACTTAGGGCCCATCTGTGGCCCCCCTAACGGTATTATCTGAGGCACCTTCACCTGTCCCCTCATTCCCACTGACCTCACAAGCCCACTGGTGAATCCAACCAGCAACCAGAATCGTTCTAGTGCAGAATCTGAAAGGGGTAAATGGTTGCGCCAGGATTACCTTCTCCAAAAAAAGGAATCAAATCCACAAGTGGAAAAGCCTTTGTAAATTTAATTTTATTACACATAACATGTACTAATTATTTTTTTTAATTGACTAATTGCCCTATTGTTTTACTGGTGTATAGGACACTTGTACATAGGTAACCAATGTACATGGGAGGCCACATATTTTGTTCAATGTTGTATCTATATTCCACATGTGCAAACTTTTCAGGGTGGTTGGTTTAACAAAAAAAGTTTAAAATAAAAGAAAAAAGGTTTTTAACTCATTTGCCTTGCTGGCAAGTTTTGCAAATAGCTCTTCCCCACCTCCTCATTTTAGTAAAAAATGAAAATAAACAAAAAAAAACCTGAGAAGTTTGAATTTTAGTTAAATGACCCCATACTGGCATTTAACGCTGTTTATAAAAATATGTATGTATAAAATGAAAATTGTTTCAGAGTTGCTAAAGCTTCATTTTATTACATTAAGTTTCTGAAACTTCTAAAAATTGCCTTTTTTGGAGACTATTATGCTGAAGAAGATGGTGGAGGCTTTTTTGTGATAGGGAGCCTTGAGCTCCCAGGATGTCTTTCAAGGCCAGGCAGGTGTGCTTGTTCACTGCCTGTTGGATTTTTTCTGTTAACATTGAAAGGCAAAATCTTGATTATTTAGCATGAGAAAAAAAAATCCAACTCTGCTTTTGGTCTTGCTTCTATAAATATATAGTGTATACTTGGTGTAGACTTTGCATATATACAAATTTGTAGTATTTTCTTGTTTTGATGTCTAATCTGTATCTATAATGTACCCTAGTAGTCGAACATACTTTTGATTGTACAATTGTACATTTGTATACCTGTAATGTAAATGTGGAGAAGTTTGAATCAACATAAACCCGTTTTTTGGTAAGAAGAGAATTAGCCAGCCCTGTGCATTCAGTGTATATTCACACCTTTTATGGTCGTAGCATAGAGTGTTGTATATTGTAAATTGTAATTTCAACCAGAAGTAAATTTTTTCTTTTGAAGGAATAAATGTTCTTTATACAGCCTAGTTATATGTTTAAAAAGAAAAAAAATAGCTTGGTTTTATTTGTCACCTAGTCAGACCTGTAGCAAGATCTTTCTAAATGTTATTCAAGATGATTCAGTTCACAGTAGTTTTTTTTTAATCCTAAAAAAGTAATGTTTTGCTTATTTTGTGACAGTCAAAAGGACGTGCAAAGTTCAACCCTGCCCCAGCTTTCCTTACAATCAGAGCCCCTCTCACCTTGTAAAGTGTGAATCGCCCTTCCTTTTTGTACAGAAGATGAACTGTATTTTGCATTTTGTCTACTTGTAAGTGAATGTAACATACTGTCAAATTTCCTTGTTTGAATATAGAATTGTAACACTACACGGTGTACATTTCCAGAGCCTTGTGTATATTTCCAATGAACTTTTTTGCAAGCACACTTGTAACCATATGTGTATAATTAACAAACCTGTGTATGCTTATGCCTGGGCAACTATTTTTTGTAACTCTTGTGTAGATTGTCTCTAAACGATGTGTGATCTTTATTTTGAAAAATACAGAACTTTGGAATCTGAGTTTTTGCTTTAACTTTGTTTAGCCCAGTACAGTGCCCCAGGACAGCCCTCAGCCCTTTCTTTGTGACTCTTTTCTTGCTTGCTTGTTTCTATTTTGTAGGGGGTTTGGGGGAGGGAGGGAAAGAGAATTGGGATAGAGATGGCCTGTCAAACTGGTTCTTGAGCCCAGTGTGACCCAGAGAGGTTGGCTTTAGCTGCCCAGTGCTTTCAAAATCATGACACTCCATATTAATCCAGATGTCCAACTTGAATTGAAAAATGAGCCCTGGCTGGTGTGGCTCAGTGGATTGAGTGCTGGCCTGCGAACCCCAAAGTCCCCAGTTCAGTTCCCAGTCAGGGCACAAGCCTGGGTTGCAGGCCAGGACCCCTGTAGCGGGTGCTGAGAGGCAACCACACATTGATTTTTCTCTCCCCCTCTTTCTCCCCCACCTTCCCCTCTCTAAAAATAAATAAAATCTTTAAAAAGAAAAGAAAAATGAGGATACTTGCCTCCTTGGGCCTGAAGTCTCCACACCAATTGCAGGGAGCATCGTGACAAAGCCTGACCCTGTGGATTGCCTACTTCTGTGCCTGGTGATCGTCCCTGCCGTCTCCTGGACTCGGCAGTATTTGTGAGCCCTGGGTCTAGATTAGAATGCAGTCAATGACACGTCACCAGCTGAGGTCAGCGTTGGGGCCCCTGAGATTCCGAGGCAGGGCTGTAGGTAAGGCATCTGGGTGGCTGCCCGGGCCTCCAGGCCCCGCTCCCGAGCCCCTTGCCTCTGGGCTGCTGCTGCCCTTGCCCTGCCCACTGAGCCTGTGCTCTGAGGCCGGCCCAGGCTGGCCCAGAACCCTAGCTTGCTCATCTTATCCTCCGGCTGGGGGCCTCTTGCAGCTTTCCGTGCAGGAGGCTCTAGGTCACGAAGGTGACCGTCATGCCTGTGGGTGCCCCCCTTCCCTTCTTGATAGCCTTTTCTCCAGAAGTTGCTTTGAGAGAAACTGCTACTAGAACATTGGTCTGTATTGGCAACTACAGGGTCAGGGAGGCCAGGCAGGAGCCACACGACCTCATGTCTGGACGTGAAGCCTCAGGGTGGTCGTGGAAGGAAGCTTTGCGTGGTCCCCTCCCGAGGATAAGGGACGGTCACTAGCAGGCCCTGGGGTCCCAGGAATAAAGAGGGAAAGGAAGCTGAGATATGCAGGTTTCAAGTTCAGAACCTGGTTTTGCATCAGGGGCTGTAAATCAGGTCCTGCTGAGGTAGCAGTGGGGGCCCACCAGAGAGCATGCTGGGCATTGCGAACCGTGGCTCTGGAGTCAGCTGGGTGCAAATATGGGCCCCACCACTCCTTGTGTGTGCTTGGGTGTATCCTCTTCTTGCACCAAATTCCTTGCTGGAAATGGATTGAAGGTAAAAATATATTACACGCGAAATGGTTCTCATACCATGTCAGGGGAAGCTACGGTTTCCTAGATAAGGGTTTTACTAGACCCTTGTAGAGGCAGTGGGCAAAGTAGGCGGGGGGCTTGGATTTCTTTCCCATTTGCCTACTGTCTTTGTGCCCTTGGAAGAGGCTGTCTGAGCTTGTTTCCTCTCGTGTGAGATTGGACTAATGCCTTCTCGAGCGGTGGTAGGATAGAATTGTTAATAAATGCCAAGCAGCTGGTGCATAGTAAGCACTTAGATATTGGTTTTCTGTTTATACTTCACTCAGGCTTTTATCTCCCTAATACTTTTAGCTTTTCAGGAAATGTTTTGGTTTTGTGCTTTTTTGGTTTGATTTTTATTTTTAGCAGTAACAAAGCAAGATGCTTGGTTAGAAATATGATCATCCCCTCAACCCCCTTATTTCAAGCCTGTGTGGCTTTTCAGTCGGACAAATAACAGGGTTTAATTTCAACTGCCTCTTATAACCTGGATCATCTTTCTGAGGCCAAGTTTCCTTCTCTGTGAAATGAAGGAAATAAATATTAGTACCTATGTCAAAGTCTGGTTGTGGGGACGAAATGCCGTAGCTCAGCACAGCACCTGGCCCATCGGTATAATGAATGGTAGTTAACATCTTTGATTTTTTAGCATCGCTCGCCCAATGGCTCTGCACAGGTTTTGGTGAACAAAATCCTTGTCTGTTACGTAAAGAAATTTACATAAAGTCGTTGATCCTGAACCACCTCTGCACAGGCACCTAAGAGATGGTTTTTATGGGTTCTTTCATTATTCACAGCAGTCCTGGAAGGAATGGGGTTATTAATCTCCACCTCATAGATTCAGAAACAGGCTCTGGGTTCTGATGCAAGTCTTTGGACCAGACCAACGCTAGGCCTGGGGCTCTCCCCTGGTGTAGAGACCTCCCGCCAGAGGACTGGGAGTCTCGGAGTAGGCTGAACTCGCTCAGCGTCTACGCCCTTGTTTGCCAGGACGCCATCATCCATTGCTGCCAAGTCTGCCACGTTCCAGACACCTGCCTTCTTGGTCTCTTGCAGAATCCCTCCAAGAGGCTCCTCACGCAGTTTCTCTAACAACTCTTCACCTGATCACAGTACTTTACAGTGCACGTTCATGTTTGTGATTCCTTTGAGCCTCGTGAAAACCTGACGGAGTCAAGTAGTGGAGAGGCTATCAGTCCATTATACAAAGGGCTTGAGACCCAAGCCGCACAGTGAATCACTAACCAAATATGGATTTCATCAGAAGGGTCCTGACTCCAAGCCCAGTGCTCTCTCCATGTCATCGTACTCTTGCCGGCTTCCATCAGCCCCAGGAGTAACTATCCTCTCTTGAAGCTGGAGATGTGTATGAGGCACTGGAGAGTGAAGCATTTGAGGCGGGGAAAACTTGTGACTTCATGTAGTTACCAGTTGTAGCCACACGAGGGTGCTGCTGCCTAAAGGAAATATTACACATACAGGCCTGAGGGCTCAAGGTGCTGAGGTCAGGGCTGGAATGGCTTTCACTGAGACCAGAGGTCTGGCATCTGCCCGAAGACTAAGCTTCCCGCCTTCTTCCTCCCCAGCTGCTCCTGGACACAGGGCTAGTCCCTCACTCTGGCTTGGGGTGGCAGAGTACGGTCATGGATCGGGTTTATAGGCCACAGCTTTGCCTTCGACTCCTGTGTTACCTCTGACGAATCACTGACTTCTCAGTTTCCCCACCTGTCACCTGGAGGGGTAGCCCAGCCCTCTGACCCTCACAGGGTGGTATGAAGTCAAATGATTGGGGCCGAGGAGGACAGACCCATGCCTCCATTAATGTGACCTGAATCCCTGGTGTCTTTTTCTGGGGCCACATCCTTAGCTTAGGCACCAAGTTTTCAAACAACTAAAACCACCAAGTCTTTTTATGACACAGCTGCCTATCTTCAAATCCCAGTTCCTCTAGCCCCGGGTGACCTTTATAAGTCATTTGTGCTCTTATTCTTCCCTTTCCTCTTCTGGAAAATGGGGATAATAATAGTCCTACTTCACAGGGTACACTCGAAACACTTGGCACAAGGCTGGGCACATAGACAAAAATAGGAGTTGTTATTATTA